GCCCGAGTCAATCTGGCAGCCCGAGTCAATCTGGTACCTACACCGGCCAATAGAGGGCGTTAGGGAGCCGCCCCAAACACTCGCAAAAAACAAATCAAAATTTCATTATAAAATTAAAATATATTAACATATTTTTTAGATGTGCAAGATAAATATTTCATAATTAATGACAAGTAAGGCTGGTTCGTTGGTGGTCAGATTGGTGACGTATTTCCGGCCCGGGGAGCAAAAATCTTCCCCCATAGACTCTGGTTAGAAGTTGTCCAGGCGCAGTAGCTCCTCCTCAATGCTAAAGATAGGAGCATCCTGGGGAGCATCTCTCCTGCACCCAGAGCTGAAAGCAGCTTTTTTTGCACACCACCTCCCGCCACAGCGCTGATGTCACAGTCGTCTGTTAGAAAGTGCAGCTGATTGACATGTCTATAGAATTATTTAGCGACACGGCTTGGCTTACTGCATGCAGTGAGGCTAGCGCTTTATTATGCTTTCCCTCCCTCCTTTCTCAAGCGTCAGGATCTGACCCCCAGTGATGAAGACAGCTAGGACTGATTTAAAGCACTTTGCAGAACATTTAAAAATATTGTTTTTCGGTTGTTGATGTTCATGTAAATATAATCTTGTGATACCTTAGTGTTTTTCCCCCCGCTTTTATGGTCATTAAACTGGCACAAGTACAGAGCAACGAAATTCACTCTCTGCATTTAACCCATCCCCTTGGGGAGCAGTGGGCTGCCATTGTGCGGTGCCCGGGGAGCAGTGTGGGGTTCAAGGTTAAGGGTCTTGCTCAGGGACCCAGAGTGGAGGCTGTGGGAGTGGGGCTCAAACTCAGAACCTCAAGATTCCAAGCTCTGTGTCCTGACCACCACGCCGCCACTCCCCCATACATTTGATTGGTTTTTGGTATACGTCTATTTTGAAGTTATAGACCACCCCACCCTGGAGAAAACTCCACCAGCCGCCACTGACTGGTTGTGGGGATTTTAGCCTTTATAATAACTAGCCTAACTTTTAGTTCAAAACTTGCACAGTGAATGCAGTAAAGGCTGATCCAGCTTTAGATTCTCCCTATTATATCATTGAATATATCATTATATCAATGGTGGACACCAACAGGAGGATGAAGGCCATCTGTAAAGCACATTTAAGGGACTTTTATTCATCACTTTTATTGTATTATTTTCTCCTTTTTTTCTGGATTCAAAGCCTTTCATAATGGAGCTCACAACTGAATGGCTTAGATCAGGGGTCTTCCACGTGTTCCAGGCCAAGGACCCGAAACTGATGGCGAGATTGAGCGGGGACCCCTAATTATATATATTGTATGAAATTGTGTTATATCAAACTGGTCCTATAGTCACTCTAATACAGATGGAGTAATGTGACAAAAGTAATTTCTCCCTGGGATTATTAAAGTATTTCTGATTCTGATTCCTGGTTGATGGGACAGGTGTTGTGAATGAAATGGTGCCCAGCTTGAAAGAGTTGCTGTGTGTCGCTGAATGTGTGCATTGATGACTGAAAGACATCTTCTGCCTCCATTTATCTGTTTACTACAGTCTGTTGAATTTATGTTATTGTGGATTTAAAGACATTTCAATTAGTGGAAAAAACTGCAGGGGGGAAAAAAAGTTTAATCAACCAAAAGTTTCACGACCCCCATGCAGTGCCTCCGTCGGCCCCCTAGAATGATATATAAGTCTTAGTGCTGAATCTCATAATCACAAGCCAAAAAACCCCACAAACATTCAAAAGGGACTCAAAACCTAATTATTTACCATAAATAACTGAACACATAGTTTTCATAGAGAGGACAACTTACTGGAAGTATGAGTGGAGCCAGATCTGTTTCTGAGCCGTCTGGATGCTGTAGGGAAGAGAACCTCCAGCTGAAGACAAAAGATAAAGATCCATCCATCAGCAACCAGGCAGCAAAGACAGCCAGTCAAACCTATCTTTTGAGATCCAAGGAATATTATTTTTTTTAAAAAAAGTGTATTTGGGCAGAAAGATTTAAAACATCTGGTTGAAATCTCCTCCATTGTATTGATTTTACTCAGCATCCACATGTTTTAGGACTTACCGGTATCTGTCAGCTTTCAAACGTATCTATATCCATAAAGCATAAAGGTCTCAAAGGTAAGGAGGAACAAACTCACCAGGGTAACCCTCTAAACTCAGCCTCACATCTTCCACTGATGGGTACAGCTGCAAAAACACATCATTTAGGACTTAAGAGCCGTGTGAACATGGTGATTACGTCACTACTGAGGTTATACAAAAAAACAAAACCTGTTTATATCTAAAATCATCATAGAGTAGAGTTTGTACCAAATACATGGGAGGGTCTGGACGAAGGGAGGACTTTCCCAGTGTGGTCAGAGTGCGCTGAAATTCCCCTGCCAGCCATTTGGTCTTATCGGCCCCCATGGAGCCGATGCTGGAGAACTGGCCAATCACAGGCCACCTTTCTTCACCTGGAATAGGATCTGTGTGCTCATGCAACAGCTAACAGAGAAAAAATTAAAACAAACTCATAAAGAGCCTCATAAAAGTCTTCAGAAGCACATCTCACACAGTTTAAGGGTTTTATGCGGAGTGTATGTAACACAATAGCACAACAGGGAACAAAGAAAATCAATAGTTTTATTTTATAAGAGGGTTGGTGACAAATAGTGTAGCTTAATATGGCTACACTATTAGCAGTTTTATTCTACCTTAGTAATTAAAAATCTATTTAATTACTTACTTTTTGGTGTTCTTTGAAGCGTATGGCAATCTGACCTTAATTTTTTTTTTTTGTACATGACTAAAGGGATACACGCCCGTTGAGGTAGTTTAAAATCTATTTTTCATACAAAACTAAAGGGATAAATGCATTTCAGACATCTTTTGCATTGACTATGGGTATGCTGGTCTGATATAAATGAACTTTAATTAAATAAATTTTAACAAATTAACTTCTAACATTTTTTTTAGAATATAGATGTATGTAGGTTTGAGCAGTTTTTTTTATTCATTTATGGAAGTTTTGCATTAAGGTTTGCACAAGGATGCTGACAGCGGCAGTAATATTCTTTTAAATCTCTACTTCAACAGATTGAAAGATGATTATTTTCCACACGTTTCAACATCCAATGAAAAAAAAAAAATGCTTAATTAATTTTTTCTGCAATTTTTTACTCAAAAACCTAAAATTAGAAATAAAATAATGTCTTTGAGTAAATTTCCTACAATATCAGTTTATCAGAAAGTATACTTTTTTTTTAAGCTCAGGAAATATTTGCATCTTCAAATAAGTTATATTAGCAGCCCTTAGACAGGAATTTTTTTCATTTTTTAGATCATAAAGGATGCAGACTCCCTGGTTCAGATGAAGATGAAGGATCAGATTAAAAATCAATAATCTTAATTGTAATAAAACCATTACCAAATCCTGCTAAAACTCGGCTCCAAATGGACACATACAGTGCAAATAGAATTAAACACATCTGTAGAAAGTACAAAGAAAGTATATAGGATTAAAAAGATCCTCATTAGATAAAAACGCACATAGACAGGCTGCTAAAGTCTAGCTGTTCATCTGAAAATGGAGCTTAAAGGACAATATTCTTCTAATCTGACTGAGCATCAGCTTTTTTTTTTATCTTTCAGGTCTTTAGTATCTTAATGCGTATAGCTAATGGAGACGTTCCTTTAAAATCGTAGGGAAGTCATATTTAAATGTCAAATCATTCTGGCTTAAACATGTATATAAATGTACTCATTATCAGACGATATTGTCTAAAAAGTTAGAAAAATTAAATTTTAAAAAAACCTGTCTCAAAATCTGTTGGGTTTTTTTCGTTTACTTATGCAGGCCAGTTAGTTATACGTCAGCCTGAACACCTAAATTCGGCCAATCATATATCAACGGTCATCTGTCAATCAAATTTTTTCAGTCATAGCATCTTGATTCATATGTTGCAGCTCATATACGCAATGATTGAAATAAGAAATCAGAATGATTTCCTTTCCCATTGAGTTCCGTCCCAGTGTTCACGGTCTGGTGAAATGTAAAAATGCTCCAGTGATTCTCCTTCAAGGCACAGTTGCTGCATATAACCATTTACTGAACTGATCAACATGCGTTTCTAGACTGTGATCTCTCCTCTCTGCAGCTTGATAACCACGGGTATTTGAAGGTCTTGTGTGACGGTTCTTCCATAGGTCATGTTCAGTAAGCAGGGGGATGAACTGTGGTGCAGAAGAGAAAAAGCTTCACCTTCCGGAGCCTCAGGTGGCCCCAGCGCTCCATGTCTGCACCCACGTATCTCCCCGGCGTTGAGGCGACCAAATAAACTCTGAAACCAAACAAAGACCTTTTAGCTGTGACTCTGACCTTAGCTTCATCTACCAGCAGAGAATCTATACGATCATCCTGATGGTTTCACCTAGTCTCCGACAGGTCGTGCTCCTTGATCCGCTGGATCCAATCTTCCAGTTCTGGAGCGCGGTATGATGCTAGGTACTCCAGCAGGTCCCGCTTAAAGAAGGTGGGCGACTCCCCCGAACTTGCGCTGCTCCCCTCAGGTAACCGTGGAAACAGAGGGCTCATCCACATCCTAAAAGAACAAAAGAAGCGAATCTTACATCAGACGCTAGCACATTTGATTCACAGGTCCAGCCTGACCTGCAGCTAACCCTCTGAGTAAACACTCACCCTTGGGTCTTCTGGTACCAGTCAGCTCTGATGAGGTTGGAGGTGAGGATGACCACTCTGAAGCCTTCCTCATACCACAGCAGCATCATCTTCCTGCTCAACAAACAAATAAAACATAAAAAAAGTAGTTTAAACAAGCTCAAAAATATAAAACCTGACTTTAAATCCCCACTAAGACTAGACCAGGTCTAAACCATTAGCTGCCTCTGCAATGACTTTGGATCCTCAGACTGCATTTCATTTGATTTGTTGTAAAAATTTGGTCAACCTGCAGAGAGTGAGATTTTAACTCTCCAACATAAACTGTGCTTAAATAGAGAAACAAAACATGCATTTTTTTACAAAGCCAGTTATGTTTCTTTCTATTGATTTCATTGAAAGTAGGACCACAAACATGTTGGGACTCATTTCCCATTCTTCTAGACCAGAGGTCACGGATTAGTGGGCCGCGATCCGGATCCAGACCCACCTGCTGGTTAATCCGGACCCAACCTGATTTAATACATTTATAAATTACCGCATGTTGTCCGACTATAGTGTCTAACTTCACTTGCGCCGCTTCTCCTGTTAATACGGTAAAGCCCTCCGGAGCACCGGGACCAGGCAGCATGTGATACAAATGAGCCAATGAGCTGCTGTCAGTCTGGGTTGCTGCTGCTACTTTTAGACAAAGCAGGCAAACCTGTGGCAAGCCGGGCGATGGGAAAGAAGGAGAAGAAGATGAGAAAAAGAGAGCAGAGAAAGTGTGGACTGCTGGAAGAACTGCAGTGAACTGGTGAAAGAAAAGTGAAATGGTGCTCAAAGATGATCCTGAACATTTAGAGGATGTTTGGCTCAAAATGAGCTCCTTGATATGTGCTTTAGAATGGCTTAGTCTCCATTCAAACCCAGGTTTAAAGCCTTGCGGGGCAGCATAAAGCCCACTGCGAACATTAAGACAGAAAAAAGAAAAAAAATTTTTTTAAACGGTCAGTTCAGGTGTTTAATAAAATATGTGAATCAGGAAAATGTCTATAAACCAACCTCAACGATTGTTGTTCTCTACTTAAAAAAAACACTTCCATTTTAAAATAGAAAAACGTTTTTTTTTTTTCTTTTTTAAATTCAATGTATAACATGGATGCATAAACACCTTATTTTATTTCTATGTTAAATTATGTTTAAAGTAACAGATTAAAAAAATATTACAAATTAAAAACTGCTTGTTTTGACCCAGATGAAATCTACTTCTTATACTTTTGTTTATTAGTAGTATGCTTTTTTACCGAGCCAGGAAAAAAATTAAGTTAAAAAAATATCTGAAAGAATTGCATCATTTTACACTCATCCTCTGTCAGGTTGTGAGGAGGCTTTGAGGATCCAAATGCAGAGAGGAGTAGGCACAGATGAGTTTTTGATTAATGAAAGTCCAAAGAGAAACAGAGGCAAAAATCCAAAATACACAAATACTGAAAAGTGTTTTTGGCCTAATAAGTAAATCTGCTTAGTACCGGTAGCTTTCCCTCGTCTGTTCCTGTTTGGCGGTGACTCCATCCTGGAGAGAAATATCAGCTGTGCTGCTGCTTTGGAGCACATACTTTTTCACTTTTACTCGAGTAAAATGCCTTTGAATAGACGAAATGCCTGAAATGCCTTTGAATAAAAGGGAATATATTTTTCTTGACATGTGTTTGCTACAATCTAAGCGTCTTATAGCTTTGTTTTGGATAAAAGTCCAAGCACAACATGTAAATGACCGGCTGAAAGAAATGGCAACTAACATGGTCATGGAAAAAAATAACTTATATATTGAAAGGTAAATGTAACAAATTTGAGGAGATCTGGTTCCTATTATTATCCTTTCTGAAAGAGGGTGGAAGTTGAGGGGATGTCAAGTGTAAACGATACTGATACCAACTGAGAAGCATTTTAGTTTTATTATTTATAGTTTTGTTCTGTTATATTGTTGTAATTTTAATTTGTTTTATGTTTGGATTTGTTTTTATATACTGTGCTGTACTATCCTTGAGTGTGTGTAATCTAAAGTTAATAAAAATACATATTTAATCAAAGTAAGTTTACCTGATGAGGAAGATATTATAAAAACACAATAAAGAATTAAAATTTACTTCTCTTGGCCAAGAGCTACTTTTAACATTTTTCTTTTGTTGTTGTTGAAGTGAAAAGTTTGCTCTCGTAGAAAGAAGCGAAGGGAGAGAGAAGCTTACGTGTGGTGAGTCCCAAAAGCAATGTCCAGTTTAGCCTGAAAAGAAAGAACTTTTAGATCTTGAGGAAAAGAACAAACTCAGAAATCTGTTTCTATTTGCAGCACATCTGGGCTGGCTTCCTTACCTGGCAGAAACGAACATGTGGAAAAGGCTGGCCCTGCTGCAGCAGCCGTGCTTTGGCCTCCCTTTTATCTCCATGGACGATCAGAACCGGACAATGCCTGAAAACAAACACAAAACCTAATATAGTCCTTTTCGAAATAAAAAAATGACTTCCTGTTTATTCATTTCCCATAAGCACAATATAGACATTATTTAAAACTATGAATAAGAACACCTGATCACGTTGGCGGTGCAAAGAACAAGATGCAGGACCTACCTGAACTCTGGTGGGAACTGCTTTACCATCCAGGGAATATCAAAGCAATAGTTAAACTAGGAAGGACAGGAGAGGAGAGGTGTTACACATCTCCAATGCCTTATGAATAAAAAGGTACTGGAGCATTGAATAAAAGTTAAAAGTCAGGGTTATGTCTCACTTTATGAAACCAAATGTAAACACATCCATCCTTAATGTTTTAAACTGAATTAGCTTTTATTTTCATAAAAAATTATCTGGTTATCTAATAAGCAATATAAGTCACACACCTGAACGGACTCTTTTAGGGTGCCAAATAACGGGGACAGGATGTCTGTGGAAAAGATGTGCAAAAAGGTTTCAGCTTCATTTTTTATTTTGTACAATTTATTATTTGTAATTCTTTACTATCAGGAAGTCCACAAACTGTAGTTAAAAGCCTTCAGCTGATCCAAAATGGTGCAGTCAGAGTTCTGATGAAAATGAAAAAGAGAGATCATTTCTCTCCTATCCTGGCTTCTCTTCATTGGCTTCCTGTTAAATCCAGAATAGAATGGAATGTCCAAGCTCCATCTGATATCAGAGATCTGATTGTTCCTTATGTTCCTAACAGAGCACTTCGCTCTCAGTCTGCAGGTTTACTAGTGGTTCCTAGAATTTCTAAAAGTAGAATGGGAGGCAGATCTTTAGTTATCAGGCTCCTCTCCTGTGGAACCAACTACCAGTTTTAGTCCGTGAGGCAGACACCCTGTCTACTTTTAAGGCTAGGCTTAAAACTTTCCTTTTTGATAAAGCTTATAGTTAGAGTGGCTCAGGTTATCCTGAGCTATCTCTATAGTTATGCTGCTATAGGCTTAGACTGCTGGAGGACATAGGGACCCTTATTTCATCATTCTGCTTCATTATAATCTCTATTCTCCTATTCTGCTAAATTTGTTAGTTCAATCTCTAACGTTCTGCTCTCTCTGCTTTTTCTCATAGTAGCTTCATCTGGTCTGTTCCTGTTTGGCTGTGACTCCATCCTGGAGAGAAATATCAGCTGTGCTGCTGCCATCAACACCTTTGTTTATAGATGTTTGTTTATAGATGTTGGAGATCTGCCTGTTTTTCAGTGTAGTCCTGTTTCTCTGACTGTGACTGGCTGGATGTGCTCTCTTCATCCTCTGACATGGGAGCTGGCTCGGTGCTCGTCTGCCTGGCTGTGTGTTTCCTGGACAGGGCCGCCTTTTACAGCTGCTTTTGTATCTCTGCCTCTGTCTCCTTGAACCCCAGTCGGCCTCAGCAGATGGCCGCTCACACTGAGCCTGGTTCTGCTGGAGGTTTCTTCCTGTTAAAAGGGAGTTTTTCGTCTTTACTGTCGCTACAAGCAAGCAAGTGTGAGGGATTGACTTCGAGTCAATCAGTCCTAAATACAATAGAATGGGTTGTAAAAGTCTGCTCGGATTTCAACATAACTAACATCACCTCTGTTAGTCCGATGCTCCTAAATTAAGAAATGTGTAAAAGAATTTGGCTTTTTGTTCCCTAAAGATCCTGTTTTTTGGATTCATAGTGAACAAACAACATGGTGAATATCAGAGAAACACATTAAATCAGGTCAGGAGAAAAAAAGCCAGAGAAGGGCTGAGTAACAAAACACCTGATGAAGCTATGCTTGTGCATAGAATTGTGTTGTTATATTTTCTACAGTGACCTTGACTGTCCAAAAAAGCGGCATTGAAATAAAATGTATTATTATCATTATTATTATTATTAGATTCATCATCCAAAGGTGAGAAGAGGGTAGCTAACCTGCCAGGTAAAAATCCTGTCTTTCTCTTTTCTTCAGCACGATGCATGTGTCTCAGACCTGCACGCCAAACCTTTTTGATTTCCACATAAAACAGGACTGTAGAAAACCGTGTGCATTTGTTTCTTTAATTCACCTCTGTGTTCATTAAAGCATGAAAAATAATTACATGTGTTATTTTCTTTGTACATCCCTCACCTCTGATGTGCAGAGCTCCACTGTTGTACTTCCTGTCCAGCCCTGTGACTTTGTTCAGGTAAAATCTGTAGGTGTCATTCAGGCAGGGAACAGAAGACTCGAAGAAGTCGTCCGGCTCGTCGATGTAGTACAGTCGGCCGTGGGGACTCGGCGGACGCTCGCTCTCCATCTTGGCTTTTTTTCTTTCACCGTTTGGAGGCGCCCGCTTTGGCGGATCAACCTGCCTGTCACTCTTCACCTCTGCATCATCTTCGTCACTGTCTGAGAGAGCCCAACCGGAACCATCAGAGGCCTCCTTCTTCCGCTTCCCAGCCAGTGATGGGCTGTTTTCAAACTTTACTGGGTTTAACTGGTTCCTCGCTGCTGACTGTCTGGCTTCAGAGCCAATAGTGAGTGAGGAGGATACAGGCGTTCTGACTGGTTCTGCTTTCACCTCCAGAGGAGTTGGCTCTGGTACTGGAGAGGGAGACATGCGGGGCTTGGGTGCAGTAGTCCCTGAAGGAGGAATGTCTTCATCATCATCATCATCATCGCTGCTAGAGACAGTCCACCTGCCATGCAGACTGGCCTGAGACATGCCTGGAAGGACACAGCGAGCAGGAACAGGGGCCTGGAGCTGAATATAACAGGACAGACACACACAGAAGCTCTCTTTATAATTTGCATTGGTCTTATTATTAGAACCACAATTAAGAATCAGCTTTACTAGCCAAGGCTGTCTGCACAAACAACTAATTTGACTTCTTGTTTGTGTACACATATAGGGCTAAAACAATCGGATTAATTGTGATAACCGATTTTTGAAATAATGGTAACCTTAGTACCGTAATCTATTAATTATTAACTGGAGTATAGAGACTCTTAAACATGCCCTTGGCTGACAGATAAACCCACCTTGAGTAGCAATTATACCAAAATTGTAAAAAAAAAAAAAGAAATTTAACATTTTGAAATTAAGATAAAAATCATTTCTCCTATCAATCTGCTCTATGCAGAACTCCTAAGTGGAGAAGTTTTTGTTTCACCTGGTTTAATTTCACAAAAAGTCTTCTTTAAGGAACCTTTGGCTATCTGATTATTAATCAATTAATAATTGATCCTTTTCACAATCTACAGATTAATCGATTTTCAAAATAGTCATTAGTTGCAGCCCTAATACATATATATATGGAATAGAACAAAATAAAGGCAGAAACTGGTAAAAAAAAAAAAAAACAACAAACATGCTTATTCTGTTTCACAGCAGACTGATTGATTATCCTGTCTTTACCTGAAGGTTAAATTTAGTCTGTATCCAGGATGTGTTTGGTCTGCAGAGATGTTAGCTGTCCTTTTTAGGGCTGAAACGATCAATCTGATTTATCGTGATTAATCGATTATGGAATAATAATCAACTCATTTAGTGATCAACTCATTGTTAACTGGATTGTAGAGACTCTAAAAGGTGCCTTTAGCTGACATCTTACCTTTGAAGTAGAATGAAGTCAATTAAATTATTTAAAATTCTAATCAAATCAAACCAAAATTGTAAA